TGACGAATGCGGTCTGTACGTGACTCGGTCTGTGCACGGGCCTCCCTCTGTAAGACACGGCTCTGACTTGCTATCTCTGAGAAGCCCAGGTGCGGAAGTCAACACGTGAGGCAGACGTGGACCACCATAGACCAGAGTGATGCTGAAGTGGGTTGGTGCAGACAACGAGGAACGCAGCAACTGAGTGAGATGAAGGCCGAGTCCGGCAGAAACAGGATGTGGCAATCACCGAGACTGGCATGCATCTCTTAAAGGGATCTTTGAATAAAATGTGGAAATTTTCAAAATTCTCCAAAAATCAAAATATGCTGGAAATTGTATGAAAAGCGCACAAAACCAAATTTTTTTTGAAAATTTTGAAAAAAATTTGAATGTGAAATTTTTCAAAACTTTTTGGTTTTGTGCGCTTTTTGGACATTTTTAAGCAATTTTTGATTTTTTGAAAATTTTGAAATTTTTCAAAATTCCACCACCTGATGCCTTGCGGAAGCGGTCCCCATCGGATTCTTTGTGATGTACTGTGTGTTTGACGAATGCGGTCTGTACGTGACTCGGTCTGTGCACGGGCCTCCCTCTGTAAGACACGGCTCTGACTTGCTATCTCTGAGAAGCCCAGGTGCGGAAGTCAACACGTGAGGCAGACGTGGACCACCATAGACCAGAGTGATGCTGAAGTGGGTTGGTGCAGACAACGAGGAACGCAGCAACTGAGTGAGATGAAGGCCGAGTCCGGCAGAAACAGGATGTGGCAATCACCGAGACTGGCATGCATCTCTTAAAGGGATCTTTGAATAAAATGTGAAAATTTTCAAAATTCTCCAAAAATCAAAAAATGCTGGAAATTGTATGAAAAGCGCACAAAACCAAATTTTTTTTGAAAATTTTGAAAAAAATTTGAATGTGAAATTTTTCAAAAAATTTTGGTTTTGTGCGCTTTTTGGACATTTTTAAGCAATTTTTGATTTTTTGAAAATTTTGAAATTTTTCAAAATTCCACCACCTGATGCCTTGCGGAAGCGGTCCCCTTTGAACTATTTCTGATGTACTGTCTCTGACGAATGCGGTCTGTACGTGACTCGGTCTCTGCATGGGCCTGTCTGTGTAAGACAAGGCTCTGACTTGCCGTCTCTGAGAAGCCCAGGTGCGGAAGACAACACGTGAGGAAGACACGAACCTGTCGAGACCAGAGTGCTGCAGAGGTCGGTTGGTGCATACGAGGAAGGCAGCAACTGGGTGAGATGAAGGCCGAATCCGACAGAGACAGGGTGTGGCATTCACCGGGACTTGCATGCATCTCTTGCTGATATGTTTGAAAAAAATTGAATTTTTCAAAATTTTCGAAAAATCAAAAAATGCTGGAAATTTTCTGAAAATTGCACAAAACCAAGAATTCTTGAAAAATTTGAAAAAATTTTGAATGTGAAATTTTTCAAATTTTTTTGTTTTATGCGCCTTTTGTACAATTTCCAGCATTTTTTGAATTTTCAAAAATTTTCAAAATTCCACCAGCTGATGCCTTGCTGAACAGGTCTCTCTCGGTCGGTTTTTGATGTACTGTGTCTGACGAATGCGGTCTGTGCCTGTCTCGGGCTCTGCACAGACCGGTCTCTGTATGACAGGGCTCTGACGTGTCATCTATGAGAAGCCCTGGTGCGGCACACAACACGTGAGGCAGACACGGACCTGAAGTGACCAGAACCCACTTGACGAAGACACCGAGGCAGTCAGCAACCGCGTGAGATAGAGGCCTCGTCCGGCAGAGACAGGATGTGGCATTCACCTAGACTGGCATGCATGTCTTGAGGAGTCCTTTGAAAAAAATTTGAGAATTTTCAAAAGTATCGAAAAATCAAAAAATGCTGGAAATTGTCTGTAAAGCTCGCAAAACAAAAAGTTTTGAAAAGTTTTAAAAAAAATTTGAAGTTAAAATTTTTCAAAAATTTTCTGTTTCTGAAGAACTGTGCCTCTGATGTATGCGGTCTGTGCCCGACTTCGTGCTCTGAACGGACCTGTCTTTGTATGACATGGCTCTGACTTTCCGTCTCTGCGGCGCCCAGGTGCGATAGACAACATGTAAGACAGAGACCGTCACTGGCAGAGATCGAGTCCTGCAGAGGCCGGTTGGTGCAGACAACGAGGCAGGCAGAAACCTGGTGAGATAGAGGCTGAGTCTGACATAGACAGGGTGAGGTATTCACCGAGTTTGGCAGGCATCTCTTGGGGAGAGTTCAGAAACAAATTATCAAAATTTTCGGAAAATGAAAAAATGCTGTAAATTGTCTGTCTCTGTTAACCTTTCGCTACTGGTCTCGGTCATGGCCTCGAACGGACTCTGCTCATGTCGGTCTGTGCCACACTCTGCGTGTCGGACACGGTCTCTGCCTCATCCGTCCTTTCTCGGACTCGGTCTCTGCCTCAATTCTTCTATGCAATGATGAACGTCATTGAGTAAGGCATACAAAGACATGATCGTGCAGAGACCGTGTTCTTAAGAGACAACCTAAGGCTGAGACCGGTTCCACTAGAGATTGGTTGTGGCAGGTGTCAGACCGGGAAGATTTTGAAAAAGAGTAAAATTTATGAAAATTTTAAAAAAATCAAAAAATGCTGGAAATTGTACAAAGAGCGCACAGAACAAAAAAATGAAAAATTTCATCTTCAATTTTTTCCATAAATATCGAAAATTTTAGGTTTTGCGCGCATTTTAGAGAATTTGCACCATATTTTGATCTTTCGAAAAATTTTGAAAATATCAATTTTTTCCAAAATCTTTCAAATCCATCTCTGCTGGAATCAGTCTCTTTCACATTCGGTCTCTGCTAGCCTCTGACCATGCCTCACCCGGTCTCTGCCAGACAGTCTCCGTCTCCCGTTTTCTACCGGACACGCTCTCTGCCTCAACCGGTCTCAGCCTCACAATTCCTCTGCCGGAAGACATCTGCGACTCAACTGGTGTCTGGTAGAGTCTGTCTCTCTCAACCGTTCCCTGCCGGTCTCGGTCAAGACCTCAAATGGACTCTGCTGACGTCGGTCTGTGCCTCACCCTGCGTGTGTCGGACATGGTCTCTGCCTCACCCGTCCTCTCTTGGACTATGCAATGACGAACGTCAGTGACCGAGGCATAGACATGAACGTGCACAGACAGCGTACTTAACATACAACCAGAGATTGGTTCTGGCAGGTATGGGTTCGGGAGAATTTTCAGAAAAAAATCTGTCGTTCTCTACTGTACACGCACTCTGCCTCAGCCTGTCGCAGCCTCACACTTTCTCTGCCGGACGACGTCTGTGCCCCAACCGGTGTCTCCCAGTCTGTCTCTGTCAACCATTCCCTACCGGTCTCGGTCATGGACTCGAACGGACTCTGCTCATGTCAGTCTGTGCCACACACGGCGTGTGTCAGACACGGTTTCTGCCTCACCCGTCCTCTCTCGGACTCGGTCTCTGATTCACCTGGTCTATGCAAAGACGAACGTCAGTGACCAAGGCATACAAAGACAAGACCGTGCAGAGACCGTGTTCATAAGAGACAACCTAACGCAGAGACCAAGTCCACTAGAGATTGGTTCTAGCAGGTGTCGTATCGGGAAGATTTTGAAAAAAAAGGCAATTTTTGAAAATTTTCAAAAAGTCAAAAAACGCTGGATATTGTACAAAAAGCACAGAGAACAAAAGAATTTGAAAATGTTCATATTCAAATTTTTTTTAAAATATAAATTTTTTCCGAAATCTTTCAAATCCATCCCTGCCGGAACCAGTCTCTTTCACATTCGGTCTCTGCCAACCCCTGACTGTGCCTCACCCGGTCTCTGCAAGACACTGTCTCTGTCTCCCGATTTCTACCGGACACGTTCTCTGCCTCATTCGGTCTCCGCCTCACACTTTCTCTGCCGCACGACGTCTGTGCCTCAACCGGTCTCTGTCTCCCTCGTCCTCTCTCAGACTCGGTATCTGCCTCACCCGTTTTTTGCAAAGACGAACGTCAGAGATCGGGTCATACAGAGACCGGATAGTGCAGAGACCATGTTCTTCAGAGACAAGGTAAGGTAGAGACCTGTCCACCAGAGACCGGTTCTGGCCGTGGTCGGGTGGGTAGAATTTTGAAGGAAAAAAAATCAAAATTTTCAATATTTGCTTGAAATTTTCCAAAAAGCGCACAAAACCAAAAACTTTAAAAATTCGAAATTTGTTTAAAGATGAAAGTTTTCAAATTTCTTAGGTTCTGTGCGCTTTTTCTACATTTCCCAGTATTTTATGAAAACTTTAATTTGAAATTTTTTCAAAAATCTCCCCACCCTATCCTAGCATGAACCAGCCTGTCCTACAGTGTCTCTGACGCACACGTTCTCTGCCGGACTCGGTCTTTGTATGATCCGTTCTTTGACTGTTTGTCTCTGTAAAGATCATTTGAGACAGAGACCGGTTGTGGCAGGGGTCGGTTGGGGAGAAATTTTCAACATTTTCAAAAAATCAGAAAATGCTCCAAATTGTCGAAAAAGCGAAAAAAAATTGAAAAATTTTAACTTCAAAAAAATTTCCAGAAATTTTGAAAGATTTTTGTTTTGACCTCATTAATGTTTTTAAAGGCAAAATTAGTTGATCATCTGTTTTTGATGCAGTTAGTCTCTGCATACCCACTAGGTCTATCAGAGACTACTCTACCTTTACTGCACAACGTAATTTCAAGGCTAGTCCCTCTGCCAGATGTGTTTCTGCTGCCAATGCAATCTGTAGGAGCATCAACATCTTTAACAAAGATCGTGTTTTGCTTACTGATGTTAGTCAGCGTTTTAAACAATAATCATTGTTCTTTTTTATTATTTATTTAGTATAACATTTTATTTTGTATGTTTGTCCAAAATTGAACTGATTTTAATTTAATTATTATTTTACTTAAGCATAATATTTAGCTCATTTACTTATTAATTATTTTGCAATAAATTATTGTACATTTATATATTCAGTTCATTGTTTGTTTGCTTTTGTATTGTAATGTTTGTATTGTTGTTAGTGCTTGGCTGTTATTGGCTTCTTTGATTTTTGTCAAGCACTTTAACAAATGAATTGAATTGAATATAATATTGCAGAACTTTAGTCTGACATGCATCCATATTAAAGTCATTTCCATCACAGTTATTCACTTACATCCTCTTCATCACTAAAATAGCTGCTTGGTCTGATTCTTCTCTTTGGCTTGGTGCTTGAAACTGTAGTGTCTTCATAGTGTCCTGTTGCAACTTTATACCGGTACTCATCCAGCTCCACCTGCTCCTGCTAAATGGGTAAAACATTCTTGAGACATAATACACACTTCTCAGGCTAACAGCCCAGCAACTACAGCTGTACCCACCACCTCAACTGCTTAAATAACTTAATGGCCTGAGGAACTCTGTTGCAAATTGATTCTACTCTACTTAAAACTTTAATTTTTTTAGTTATATGTATAGCATATAATGAACCACGTTTTTATGATAATGCCTTTATATCACTGGTTAGATTCCTTGTATTGTAATGGGACTTTTCACTATAAAAAATAAGAAATTGTAATTTCTATTCCAACTAATAATGCTCAAAAATGCATTAAGATGATGAATGCATGGCCCAGTTTCCCTTTATATTAGAGCTGTATTAATAAAACAGAGGATTAAATGAAATTAAAAGACTTGCAAAATATAGAAAAAAAAACTTAAGCCAATTTTGTACTGCATTACTTGTCTTATAAATAAGAGTGGACAGTTATGCTGTGAATGGAGTACACATATTTTTCTCTCTGTTCTTTTAACTTTGCATATCTCACTGGCACTGACAGTTATTTACTATGGATACAAATATACAGCTACAAAGCTATTACTTGAACTCACAGACTCCGATATTATTTTTCCTTTAAAATTATCACTATTCATCACACAAAAATTCTTTCAAATAATGTTTATCTTAATGAGATCTATTATATGTCCTGCATAATCAGCCAAATTTTTTTTGAAAAGTCAATAAACCTCAATTTAAGCTCCGTGTAAAAAGATTAAGTCAGGTTTGCCTAGCAACTTTGTGTGGAACCCCAATACTGAATTTAATTTAAATGAAACAGCTGAATGGATACATACAATCACTCCATTCTACATTTGTTATATGCACAACATAAAATAAAACAATAAAAAATTATGGGCAATGTAACAGGATTTTTGGACACAAGCAGCAAGAATATCAAGAAAATACAAAACTGAATACAGAAGTTCTATTTATGGTGATATAAAGACTAAACCCAAACTGGTACTGGAATGGATGTCATTAGGAAGGCCAAGACTGGGAGCCGAATGAATGAAGGGAATCCCGGATGCAATGGGAGAGAGAGAAGTGGAAGGATACAGAAGAATGGTGATCTGGGAGTGCGGAAATCAGTAACATTAAGAAACCGGTACATACACACACAAAGAGCATCTAATGAAAGTCATCTACCTCAATTTTTATAACTGCACTAAGGGTTTCCATGTCAGGTTCCACTTCTTCCTCTGGTTCCTCTTCATCTTCCAAAATTTCTTTCTTCTTCTTATGTCTACTCTGTGTGCTTTCTAACCAATAATCTTCATCTGAACTCCCAAATTCTTCTTCATTCTGTAATGAAGTTGAATATTAATTGTGTGGTGTCAGTGGTGGTGGTGATATTATGGCAGTGTGCACTTATGATTGTGTCAAAATGGTGATATCATAGTGGTGTGTGGTTGTGGTGACAGAATGGTGGTTATGTAGCAATGTGGTGGTAAAATGATGATCATGCTTGTGGTGTTAATGAGGTGCTACTGGTGAAGTATGGTGATGGTGGTGCAATTGTGACTCTCATATTGTGTCACTGGAGATGGTGTTCTGAAATAATGTAGTGCAAGTGTTGAGGTGGTAAAATCTCCACTGTTATTTGTAGCAATGATGGAAAACATAATAGGCAGAGTGGCAGAAAGTCACCGAGAATGGAATGAAAGCAATGGTTTTTGCAGACGATGTGATGGTGTGGGGAGAGAGAGAGAGAGAGAGACGGAAAAGTTCAGGAACAGTTGGAAGTATGGCAAGAGGAGGTAGAGAGGTGTGGCATGAAGTTTAACATCAAGAAGTGCGAGGTGGTATGTATGTCAAGAATGCAGAACAAAGTATGGAATGGGATTGAGTTAAGGGGAGAGAAACTCAAAATGGTGGAGAGCTTCAAATACTTGGGAAGTGTAATCGAGAAAGATGGTCGCAATAGGATGGAGCTAATAAGGAGGGGACAGCAGGGAGAGTTTCTACAGAGCGGTGAGAGATTTACTATGGCAACGGGAAGTCCCAATGAGGTGCAAGAGGTTGCTGTATGAGGTGTACCTTGTACCAATTGTTACATATACAGCAGAAACTTGGACATTGGGAAGAAAGGAGATACAGAAGGTGGAAACAATGGGTATGAAGTTTTTGAGGAGTGCAATGGGTATAACAAGGAGAGAGAGAGTACGGAATGAGGAAGTTAGGAAACGAATGGATGTGAGGGGTCTGATAGAGAGAGTAGAAGAAGCAAGAATGAAGTGGTATGGACACGTGAAGCGAATGGCACGACAAATGTTGGATTTGAGAGTGACTGGTACAAGACCAAGGGGAAGACCACGAAGAAGGTGGGAGGAGTAGATAAAACGAGGAGTGATGGAGAGAGGTGCCCAGTGGCAGTTGGTGGAAGAAGAGGAGTGGTGGAGATACAGAAAGATTTGGTGGGGCTTTACCAAGTGGACCCAGCCTCAGGCTGGAAACAGCAATGGATGATGATGATGAAGTGTTGTGGTGGTGATGGTGGTGCGATAATGAGATGGTGGTCATATGGTTGAGTAGTACCCATGTGATGGTGGTGACAGGCAACCATGTCATGATAGAGGTGATGGTGGTTGTAGTCATGTGGTGTGGTCATGGTGGTGGTGGTGGCATTTTTGTTGTGGTGTGATAGTGGTTTTGTGGTACTGGCAGTAATGGTGTTGATAATGAAAAAAGGTAACAATATTTATATTATTCATGATAAAATTTTGGTTTTAATGGTAAAGCTGTAAAAGATAAAAGATTCAATAGTCATATGTTCTGGAATGATGGAAGAAATGCCTACCTGACTTTTTTCATCTTTATGACTTTCCTTCTTCTTCTTCTTTTTCTCTTTCTTAGGAGGTGGATCTCTTTCACCTAGTGCATTCTTTGGACACTTATAGCTCAAGTGGCCGTCTTCACCACATTCATAGCATCGTGATTTGTCAGGATAAGATTTACGACGTATAAACTCAACACTTCTCCCATTATCAATTGCCAGATTGCTTCTAAGTGTGCGGCCAAACATCTAGAATCACATTAAATTGAAGTGATAAAATGGTATAAGTTTTATAAATTCCATAGGAATGAACAGGTAAAGTGCATACTATAAGACCACATACATATTTTTGGGAAAAGAAATTCTTGACTGGAAGCTTAGAGCCAAACTCTTCCCTGTAAAACTTACAAAGACACAACTGACTGTCAACTAATGTAACAATGGTTAATGATGCTACATCAAATGCAAAGATTATCATGAATGGTCAGGAGGTTAGGTGTACACAAGGAAGCAGCTGTGGCCTACATGCCCACTGAGTACCAAACTATTTTGCCTGCAAAGTTTGAAGAAAACTACAGAACATCAGTCAGTGCAGTTAGTTCTTGGCCAACATTTAAACTGGTAGTTTATGAAAGTGTTGCCATATGTCCTACCATTTCAGTGCTATACCACAATTCCGGGAACTTTTTGACTGCCCCTCGTACTGCTGTTGACTCTCAAAAAAAGAAAAAAAGAAAAAAAGAAGAAAAAAAAAAGAAAAA